AAAATCAAAGGGGAGAACTGTTTTTTTTTTATCTTAAAATCAATTTAAAAAAAAAACCAATTATTTTCAAATAAAATCTAATTTTAAAACTTAATTTGATTGAATTAAAACTTTACATTTAATTTTATAATAAAGTAAATTATGTTATTTTAAACTAAATCAATAAACATAAAAAAAATAATAATAAATAAATCAGTAATAAATTTTAAAAAAAAACGAAAGCGAGCCGGACCAAATACGGTGTCTACAGGGCTCACCCAGTTGCTACCTGATATAAGGTAGATGACTCCAGCATCTAACCATTTCAAGATCACTTTTCGAACTACCTCTTTCATTTTTGGATTCAAACGTGTCTGATTTTCAATTGAATTGCTGACACCTTCTTCCAATAGGATCTTATGCATGCAGAATGCAGGGCTTATCCCTCGAATGTCAGCAATGGTCCAAGCAATGGCCTTCTTGTATTTCACAAAAATCTGCAACAATGAAAGCTCATTTTCAGTAGATAAACTGGAAGAAATAATAACAGGCAAAGTTTCATTAAGTCCAAGATAAGCGTATTTCAAGTGAGAAGGTAAAGGCTTTTGTTCCAAAGTGGGTGGTTCCACAATGGATGGTTGCAATGTTTTGCACACTTCTACCTTTATATCATCTTTCTCCTCTGGTGGATACGTATCTTCAGTCAATTTCGGGCATTCATCTTCTGTAGCTTCTAGTTCTTCCTCAATTCCTACAACTAAAAGATCATAAAACTCATCAAACAAAGCAGGGTTCGAAGTACTAATGTCTGAATATTCTTCTAAACCTCCTAGAAGTTTCATTGTATCCAACACATTAAACTTCACCTCCTCATTATTAACTCTCATTGTTATTTCTCATTTTCGAACATTAAACATTGTATCTCCTGTAGCTAGGAAGGGTCTACCTAAGATGATAGGTACATCCAAATCGGCCTCACAGTCTAAGATGATGAAGTCTGCAGGGAAGATAAACTTATCTACCTAAACTAGAACATCTTCTATTTTTCCTTCAGGCTTTTTAATGGATCTATCCGCTAATTGGAGGGTAACTGTAGTGGGTCTAGCTTCTCCTATGCCTAATTCTTTGAAAACAGATAGGGGCATTAGGTTAATGCTATCACCTAGGTCGCATAAAGCTCTACCTAAATTCTTTCCTCCAATAGGACAAGGGATGGTGAAACTGCCGGGATCTTTACATTGTATGGGCAAAGGGCTACCTACAGCTTCACTACTACACTTGGTCATAGCTACCATCTCATGTTCACCTAACTTCTTTTTTATAGATACAATATCCTTTAGGAACTTAGCATAATTCGACATTTGTTCTAAGGCATCAACTAAAGGAATGTTTATGTGAAGTTGTTTGAGGATGTCTAAAAACTTTCTAAACTGAGTTTCTTGGTTTTTCTTGCCTAATCTTTGAGGGAAAGGAGGAATCAGGGAAAAGATGAATTTTTTTGTGGAGAGGCGCTAGACGCTTCCCTTCACTTGAGGTAGTTTTTTCAGTCTCTACTTCACTAAGGGCATTTTGAATTGATGTGGAAGGTTTCTCTACCTCAACCGGCATCTTTGGTTCTTCGTAAGACAATCCACTTCTCAAAGTTATCGCCTTGCATTGCTCTTTTCCATCTCTTTTTGGAACTTTAGTATGCCGAGGAAAAGAGCCTTGCGGTCTCGCCTTCAAATCATTGGCATGCTGTCCCACTTGCCTCTTTAGGTTTCTCATCGCTGTATCATTTCAAGCCATGTACTCCTTCATCATATTCTCGAGGCTAGAATTAGTATTCTGGGCTGGCTGAATTGGGGTTCTTTGGTTCCGATTATACTGTTGTAGTGGTGGTGGCATCTGTTGATTGCTTGAAAAAGTAGGAGGGACATAAGGMTGCTTATACTGGTGGTTCTGCCCTTGGTTTACTCCACTAGAACTTCCTTGACCTCCCCATGAAAAGTTGGGATAGTGTCTCCACCCCGGATTGTATGTGTTTGAATAGGGGTTGAAGTTCCGGTTGTTCCCGTGACCTATATAATAAACAGAAGCTAGGTTATGCGAACAATTCTCATAAACATGGTTATCACTACAATAAGAACAAACAATTTCATTAATTTGGCAAACGGGAGAGGGAGCAGCATATTCTGGTTGCACGGGTGCAGCTGGTGCACTCTTCCTTTCTAGGGCCAACACCTTGAGCATTTGGTTCATCGTCACCATTTCTTTCCGCATTGAAGTTGCTATGTCCAACGCCAATACACCCGCTTGATCTTGCTTCTTAGGTGCCGATTTCGACCTTTGAGAACACCATAGCTCGTTGTGGGAAGCTAGGTCCTCCAAAGTATCAACTATTTCGTTGAAGGTCTTTTTTGTGAAAGCTCCATTTGCGGTGTTGTTGAACATCATCTTAGTGGGATGGTCCAAACCTCTGAAGAAATGCTCAATCTGGATACATGCTGGTAATCCATGATTCGGACACTTCCGCAGCAACTCCTTGAATGCCTCCCATGCCTGGTGCACAGGTATGACGAGTGGGAGGGAAATACGTTGTAAGGAACTTCTCTACTAGCGAATTCCATGTTGTAATTGATCCTGGCGGGAACGAGTTGAGCCATGTTCTTGCCTGATCCTTAAGAGAAAATGGGAAAAGACTTAACCTTAATGCATCATCAGTTATATTTGGAAATCTAAATGCACCCGCTATTTGAAGAAAAGTTTTGAGATGGTCATGAGGGTCTTCATGTTCAGGCCCCCCCAAACTGTCCTAATGTTTCAAGCATTTGAAACATAAGCGGCTTCAATTCGAAGTCGGCGGCTTCTGGAATGGGATTTAGGATGAAAGAATCCAAATTCTAAACCCTTCAAATGACCATATGTTACTCTAAGGATTATTTTTGAAGGCTATATATAGCCATGTATGTCAGATTTGAGAACATAGATTTGAAGATGTAATGMAATGAGCCTTTGAGCCTTTCTTTTAGCAAAGAGCTAACATATTTTGCAATCTAGTGATAACTTGGATGTTTAGAATCATTCAAGTGAGACTTGATCTATTTTGCTTGTGGAGTGATTCAGATTTCAAACAAGGAACGAGTTTTATTGCCTTGAGATATTTGATCAATAAGGTAATCTAATTTTTACTTTCCTTAGGTTAATTCCATAATTGGTTTTGGGGTTTTTAGAATTGTGTTCTATAGGTCTTGTTTGTTAGAAAGGTTCTTAGATCCAACTCTCAAGGGTTTCTTAACAAACACACTACTACAAATTTGAGTTTTAATGTCGGACAAAAAAAACACAGAGGTAACTATGTCGGATAAAAAAAATACGGAGGAAATAATGTTGGACAAGGTTAAAAATTAAATTTTATAATTCAATGTCGGGCTGGCCCGACATTGTAAGCAGGCCATTAATGTTATACCCAGCCTGCCACTAAAAGTGACCGAATTTCTTAACCTAACTTTAATTTTCACCCCTTTCAAATCGAAAAAACTTTCTGCCTCTCTCCGCTTCGTGAATGAACCAACTCCAATTCCATTCAAACCAGCTCCACGGTGTGCGGACGACAACGATCCGGCGATGGTGACCTCCATTGGTCCGAGCAGTTGGAGCGATGGTAACTTCCAATGGTGCGAGCGACGACGAACCTATGAGCAATTTGACGTTTCTTCAAGGTGAGAAATGACCTCTGGTGATTTTGAACATTACAGCACGATGAATGTTGAGCAAATTTGTGTCCCTTATGTGCAAGTATACACCATCGATGCAGCAAATAATAAAGAGTTCGAATCCACAGGAACTGCTCACTAAACACTTGAATAAATGCTCAAGAAAACTAATATTTAAACAGTACAATAGACARCAAGGACACAACAAACAATCAAAGGAATAAACGCCACAACGCTCACTGAATGTAACAAATCTGAACTTAAATTGAYTTCACGCAGTTTTRAAAAGGAAAGTACACAATAAAATGGTTAACAAATGACTTTTGAAAGGGTAAGACAGAAAGTTAAACATGACCTTTTCTGGGCTACACAAACAATGCTATAGCATTATCGATGTTGAAATACTGGCCAAACAGACRTAGAGTCTTCCCAKACATCCCAAATTTTCTGCTATTAGGTTTTTCAGACAAACTAAACAGYATATAGTAACAGTTTATAAATGTGCTAGGTGAGCCTTATTTTTAAGTACACACTATCTAACTCAAGCAGATTCTAGCATGAATTGAAGTTTATCACTCTCTATTACAATTTCCCAAGAGTTGACAAGGAGATATTCCAACAATGGTGATCAAGCATGTTGAAAATAAACTTTGAAAACAACTTCAACTCAATATTCATTCATCATTAACACTAATGGCACAGTTTTACAACCCAAAAAAAGAGTTCATAACATTTTCCCCTTACAAATGGGCTTAGCTACGCATATTCATTAAAAAAAAAACAAGAAAACAACAAGAAGAAATACAACACAAATGGACGCAAGGATCCGGAGATGGAGCTGAAAGTTCAACTCCAAGTGGGCCGGTCTGCTTCAGTCGGTGCTCTTCTCTTCCTCTTGTCTTCTTCGAAACTAACTTTTGTCTTCTTGGAGTGAGGGTGAGGTGATGCGAAAAGTGTGTTGGAGGCTTCCTTAAATGTAAGCTTTTATACCCCCTTCTATTTTTTGGGCAACAAACACATCTCGTGGGTCCCAGCTCTCACTTCCAGGTGATTCCTCAAGTTACTGTGGCAACTCCCAGAGTAAAGTTCTATCACTGTCAGTTTTTCGTTTTCTGCTCCTTTTCGATTCCAATGCTGTAGCATAATTGATGCTGCAACAAAACACCCAAAATTAGATTTTCCAAAATTCTTAGCAAAGTTGAAGAGTGATATAACACTATGACATTTCATGCACAGACTTAGTGTAGATTGGGTGCAATTGAGGCTATCCTTAGCTAATCTATGTGAACTTCTTGCCCAAATAACCCTCTTTTGGAGAGTTATCAAAGAACAGACACCAATCAGATTTATGATTCTTTCATATTTGCAAGTCGATCTCCTACGATCTCAATAGGTAACGACCCTTCTAAATCTCTTTTTAAATTTGATTGAAGTCTTCTGAACAGAATTACAACGCTCACTACAAGAATTTTGAGTTATAGCGACAGATGTTTTCCCGATGCATGCAAAAAACATCAGCATTATAGGACTTTTCCCAACACTTTTGTTAAAGCGTTGGAAATTAAAAAGCATGTAATTTTTCCCGACGCCTATTCAAATAGCGTCGGGAGAAACGCTAATTTGCTCCGTCGGAAAAATTAGACTTTTCACGACGCTATTTTAATAGGCGTTGGCATATATACACCTAAGAACCCCCGTTTTTCCCGAAATCTCTAATTGTGTGCTTCCCTCTCGCCTTAGTTCCCTGTATCTCTCTAAACACAACCCATTCCTCTTTTCCGTTATCTCCCACCGTTGGTACTCGCCTCAGACACTGTCGCCGTCGGTCTCACCTCAGACGCTGCCGCCGGTCTCATCTCAGACACCGTCGTCGGCTCGCCTCAATCATCGCTCATCCTTGCGTACAGCCGCCATTCTTGCATCCACGATTTGGTTTCGTAAGCCCATCCCTCTTTCCTTTGTTTTTTTTTTTGGTTTGATTGTGATAAGATTCTTGCATCCATGATTTAAATCATTTCTAATTTTTGTATCAACGATTTGATTTTTAGATCTGTAAACTACTTGCTGAAATGTTACTTTCTAACCACATTTGCTGCATTCCTACCGTTTCTGAAAAAGCTTATAAGAGAACTAAATCACCACCTTCATTTTTTTTTGTGACTTCTATGTGAAAGTAACACTCTGTAGAGAAAAGAAAGGGAAAAAAAGAAATTTTTTTTGCCATAAAAGGTTGGTCCATATCCTCTTCTGCTAAAAGTGTAGAATCTGATTTTAGAAAAAGAAACCATTGATATTTTTGGACTCTTAAGAAGACTTCTCATAGCTAGCTGAAGTAGTCTATTTGTTTTTCCTATCGTTGGCCAAAAGACCTCTAAGTTCTAACTTCATTTTTGGTTCTTGTAGCTTTTATGTTTCCTTTTTCTTTTTACCTCAAAGGTTAACCGATGTCATGCTTTCTAATAGCATGGTTTCTGAATTAAAGAACTAAGACAATTAGAGAACTATTGATGATGGCTGAAAATCACCAGAACTGAAAGGTAATGGGTGGGAGAAATTTTCATTCTTTTTCTTTTTTTCAATGTCATCATTCATCACTGAGGTGTAGTGAATTCCATGAGGATGATTTTGTTTTTTTTTTTTTGGTTTTTTTAAATAATTTTACTTTTTTATTTTTGTTAATTCTATTTTTCATTTTTAGAAAAATATTTTTGAACTGTCACTAAAATGGTAAAAATAAAAATAGTAGATCTCTAGAACTTCCCCTTTTTAGTTTTTTAAATTAAATAGTATTTAGATGCTTACTCAATCTTCTTCAACTTCTTACCAATGAAAATAGAACAGCTAAAAGAGATAAAAAATGTATTATTTAGAAAAAATAAATGAGCTATAAATGTTTTAATGGTGGCGAGTAAGAAGATAAGCACTTAAATATTTTTCTTAAAATTTTGCCTAAAGTTTTGAATAATTAGTAAGTTTAGTTTTAAGAAACTAAAGAGTAGAACAAATTGTTATAGGTGAAATTATCGTACTAGTTTAACTTAAGGTTAGACCAAGGAGGTGATATGGATCGAG